CCCCCCCGTGAGAATGATCTACCCACAAAATCTCAAAACTGCAGATGTTGGCATGGATGTGGAGAGAGGGGAACACTTTTACACTGCTGGTAGGACTGCAAACTAATATACAACCTTTTGGAAGGAAATATGGAGAATACTCAAAGAACTCAAAGTAGACCTCCCGTTTGAACCTGAAGTCCCATTACTGGACATCTACACAGAAGATGATAAAAAATCCTTTTGTCATAAGGACATTTGCACTAGACTGTTTACTGCTGCTCAATTTACAATTGGCAAATTGTGGAAACAACCTAAATGCCCACCAATCCAGGAATGGTTTAACAAGTTGTGGTATATGTATACCATGAGATACTATTCAACCACAAAAAAAGATGATGATGGTTAATACATATTTTATATTAACCTGGATGGAGTTGGAATAAACTCTTCTTAGTAAAGCATCACAAGAATGGAGGAGCAAGAATGCAATATACTGAATTCTCATATGAGAACTATTGATGCTAGCATATGGCAGGGGGTGAAAGAATGGGGGAGCAGAGAAAGGGAAGGAGGGAGCAGAGTGGGGGGGTCACATTGTGTGACACACCTCTTAGGGGGCGGGACACAATTACAAAAGGGACTTTACCTAACAAATGTAAGCAGTGTAACCTGGTTCTTTGTACCCTCAATGAATCCCAAACAAGAAAAAACAGACATAGATGAATAGAAAGCTATCTTGTTCCTAAAGGGTTATTTTAATTGCATTTGTACTTCAGTATGGCCTTCAGTTGACTTTTTCTCTCACTTAATGGCTCTTAGTGACTAATACATTTTTCTCTCCCCATTAAAACTCTAAAATATTGATTCTAGTAAGGGTAATCTGGCCACATTTCATAACAGTTACTTGAGAAAACAACATAGGATATTTTGTCAAATTCTAACTATTCAAGAATTTCTTCAAATAATTATAGGCCCTGTTTATTGAGGATATAATAAAACATTATTATTCACAGACCTAAAGTAAACAGCTTTTTTCCTTTTTCTAAAAATAGTGGTTGCCATATTTTTTAACAGTGCTACCTATTATGAACAATTATTCTGCTAAAACAAATTTTAAAACCATGAAAGAGGCGCTTTTATTTACTACAACAGTTTAAACTTGAAATATTTTTTATTATTTTTCTAGTTGTGCTTACCTCCAGAACCCAGCCTTTTTAATGTGCCTGTCATATTTTGTATGCATGTTTGATTTACTGCTTTATGATTAGCTAATGTAGATTTTTCTCTGAGCTTTTCTCATACAATTTTTAATCAGCAATTCACCCCAGTGTGGTGAATTATACACAGTTAACTCTTTTCATTCTAGAAGGCTCCTTCCCCAAATGCAGCCATGTTTTTGTACATGGTGGGAATTAAGTCAGTACTCAAGAGTGTTATTTAATTAAATTCTTATAATAAAACATTTATTGTTATTTCCTCTTTTTTTTTTTTGTACTGCAGGTCTTCCGACCCCGAACTCCACCAGAGGCAATTGCACTGTGTAGCCGTCTGCTGGAGTATACACCAACTGCCCGATTAACACCACTGGAAGCTTGTGCACATTCATTTTTTGATGAATTACGGGACCCAAATGTCAAACTACCAAATGGGCGAGACACACCTGCACTCTTCAACTTCACCACACAAGGTAATTCCAAACACTGAGTTCTTTGACTATTTCTAGGAAAGCTGCACATTGGGTATTAGTGATACCTTGTTAATTAAAATCTGTGGAGGATAAAAATGGCCCTATGAAGTACTCATGGAGATAGGAAACTTCCTAATTTATTAAACTACTGTTTATAATTTTGGACAAAATAGTAGCAGATAAAAATTTTCCAACAGGCAGAGCTTCTGTAATTTTTAGCAGATTATAATCTTAGCATATGAGAAGTTACATAGATTTCAGTGAGTGAAGTTCTTCACTGAGAAGATAATTTAACCTTTAAGTTTGAATCTGAAACTTAAAATATTAGCATTTCTTGCTTCCTAAGGATTATATCAAGTTTTTTAAACCTGAAAATAAATTGGTAGCTTTATTTATATAAATTCACTTATTTTTATAAATAAAGTGAGACTAGAATCTGTCCTATAAATGCTTTCCAAGTATTATTGATGGAAATTCTTATCCCCTCTTGAGTTTTAGCCTCATTGCTACTGCTAAGAAAATATTGAAGGGAAAACTGACTTTGTGCATTGGTAATTTCTAAATAAACTGAGGATGGTAATTATTTTTTACCAAGTCTGTGTTCACGTCTCCTTTCACCCTGATTAAAACCCTAAGTGTCTCATTCATTCAGCCACTTTGCCTCTGCTGATGTGCTTTTCTTCTTAAACTGAGCATAAAAAGTGTATAATTCCCTACAAAGAAAACAAGAAACAGGCTCGGCGCCTGTGGCTCAAAGTGTAAGGCACCAGCCACATACACCTAAGGTAGTGGGTTCAAATCCAGCCCAGGCCTGCCAAACAACAATGAGGGCTGCAACTAAAAAGTAGCCGGGTGTTGTGGCAGGCGCCTATAGTCCCAGCTACTTGGGAAGTGGAGGCAGGAGACTTGCTTGAGCCCAGGAGTTGGAAGTTGCTGTGAGCTGTGATGACACAGCACTCTACCCAGGGGGATAGCTTGAGGCTCTGTCTCAAAAAAAAGGAAAACAAGAAACAGTTGATAATATTGACTCATCAGTAAGAGTGGTCAGGTTAGAAAATATAGAACGGAAATGTAGAGCTTTCTGTGACCCAAGAAAGATGTATTGCCTTTTTTCTAAGGTGAATGTTTTTTTCACATACTTAAACTTTGTAAAAGTTGAAAGTGGAGGGTGGCACCTGTGACTCAAAAGGCCCCATATGCCGGAGGTAGTGGGTTCAAACCCAGCCCTGGTCAAAAACTAAAAAAAAAAAAAAAAAAAACATTAAAAGTGGAAAGATTCATGGCATAAGCAATAAATGAGGAAAACTTGGG